CCTACAAACGCTGCGCCGGTGCTGCCTACGTTCACTGCAGGACCCGTCGTCGCTTCGGCAGTGGTCCCGAGTGACCTCTCTCATGGCTCACTAGGCCTGCCTGACTAAGGCACTCGCGACCGCATGTTCTACAGCACCATGCGCTCGATGTCGATGGAGTACAATTCATCGGTGCTTGCCGCTTCCGCAATTGCCGCTTCTTCTCTGCATGCATGAGGGCTTTCTCCCGCACTTCAGCAACTACCTTCGTGATTAGATCGCGCCATGCACGCCGATCAACCGCCTTCGATTCCCGTGATCTGCAATCAAGATTAGAACGTGTGAGGCTCACTTTAATCATGTCCTGGTAACGTAACTTTGGTTTCCCCATGTGACGCCTCCCTATACTCAGCTGACCGTATAAAAGTTGTTTCGGTTTCCGCGTCGAATCCATACGGCTCACATGACCGAGCCATCTCAGGTGTCTCAATAAAAGTATGCAGTCCACTGCATACATCCCACTTCGGCGCAACGCTTCCGTGTCTGAAACTCCGGCGTCCCACCCGATGCGCAAAACTTGTCGCAGACACTGCTGATGGAACCGCTCGAGATATCGCACATCCCGTCGGTACATCGTCCACGTTTCACTGCCGTATAGAAGAACGGATAGCACCATGGATTTGTACACCATCAGCTTCGTGCCAATGGTAGGCTGATGGTTGTTCCACACTCGGTACTCAAGCTACCCGAATGCCGCCGCTAACTTCGACACACGAATACGCAGCTCACTATGTATCTGCTGATCAGTCGACATCACACTCCCAAGGTAGCAGACGTGGGAGGTGGTTTCCAATACTTCAGCACCAATGCTTATTTGCGGCAATATATATATATATATATATATATATATATATATATATATATATATATATATATACTGTCGCGTGCTTTATTCGGTAACTATTCTCAGACATTGTCATCTCAAGTGATTGCCCGTTGTTTGACATCCCTGGTCTGGCTGCGCTTCTTGTGCATGTTGACAAGGTGCCCTACCAGTTTAACACCCTGCAGCTCCATTGGTGACTCCAGTAGACTGTGAATCGTTGCTGGGGGGACGGGGTGCGCGGTCCTCATGGCCGTACTAGGCTCAAAGAGTGCTTCCATCCAGTGTGGAGCGGAGTACGGTCCAGCCACCGCCTTATCTGGGCTTGATTCTCCAATTGCAGTGTGCTTGTGTTTGCCTGTGAAGGAGTGTGAGCCGGATCCGTTGCTGAAACCTGGATCCCATCCGTATGTTTCCCGTTCTTATTTCTTCGGGTTTACACTGGATATGGAGTATGTAGATGGAGCTGTGGATGGTGCATCGCAATCCACCCGCGGTCCCTCTGTATGTATTCCCATCAGTCTAGCAACTAAACATAGATCCAACAGAAACCATGGAGATTAGCGCATAATGGGAACACATCGCGTCATAATCATCGTGGTATAGTAGTTGAAGGTGAGCAACACACTTCAGCTACTATGCCGCAGAAAGAATGGATCATTTTGATTAAAATGGAACAAAGCGTTTTTCGTTTGTTTTCACACGCCGATTTTCCTCTTTTTTGTCATTTTCCATGTTTAAAGTATTAAACATGTGAATCATTACAATATTGTACACTTTTCCTCCACTGATTCCGGTTGTGGGCCATGTCTTTAAGTGTTAAGCCATTGACATTCTTCATCTTTAGGTCCTCATCCTGGAAGACCTGCAGATCCAACAGCGGCTAGACACGAAGTCAGCCAATTCATGAGCTGTCGCCTCCAGCCAGCTCCTCGACCAGCGAATAGAGCACGACGCAGTGGACACTCAGGTCCCATGTGTAGGACATGACCGAGCCATCTCAACTGGCGCAGCAAAACCAGTTTGTTGATGGGAATACTCTCAGTTCCCAAGGTGCGACGTTGAACGTCATTACTGTTAACTCTATGTTTCCATCAAACATGAGCAATCCTCCTTAATCAACCGTTATGGAAGACGGGATGACGACGCATGTCTTCCACGCGAATTGACCAGGATTCGCTCTTATACAGCACACTGAACGAACAGATGCGCTGTAAACGCGGCCCTTTAGTGAGAATGAGACGTCGCAACGACGCCACAAGTGCCTCAGATTGACAAATACTGATCGGGCTTTAGCGATGCCAAGAGCAACTTCTCGACTGATAGTGCCATCAGTAGAAACACAGCTTCCAAGGTAGACGAAACTATCTACCTGTTCAAGTTGTGCACCTTCGAGAGTGGGCACAGGAGCAGATGCAAGCCAATCCTTGAGCAGTACTTTACACTTCGATGGGGCGAAGCTCTTACCATACGTAGATGCTTCAACCGCCAAACCATCCAGCATGAGTTGCATATTCTGATGATCGTCACCAAGTAAGGTGATATCATCAACATAATCTAAGTCGGTCGCGCGATCACCCGGTAGAAGCTCTAGGCCAAAATGTTGGAAACCTTCTAGAGCATTCGACAGAACGTCTTCAATTGCGAAGTTGAATAGGAATAGGGACACAGAGCAGTCTTGTCGCGCACCGCTATTGACAGCGAATTGCGAGGAAAGCTTATCATAGACCCTCACTCTATCGGATGTATGCAGGTAAAGTGCTCGTAAGATGGCAGTATATTTCTCCGACTGTCCTCTGAAGGTCACATTGACAGGCCAGTCCGGTACCGGATGCCTCTAACCATACGACGTGCAGAAAGCTTGAAGAGTTACGTCTTAAATTTTCCCAGTCTGCCTGAGGGATGTCCGCTTCATTGATGGCATAAGGCGGTAACGAAGCTCTCTCTGGCATCGCTTGAAAGTTCGATAACTAAGTGTTGGGATACCAACCGCTAAGTGCCTTGTAAGAGCACGCCAAAAGGACGAGTAAATGTGATCGTTAGCATAAAGCGACGAGCGTAAGTGGCGCATAGTCTCTCGCACTTACGCAGACTTTTCCTTGCGGCCGCGGTCTGGCTGAGTTAGTAGTGGAACTTAGTGGATCCTTGACTATTGTATGTTTGAAGTCGCTTAACAGTCGCACCTTGCTTTATGAATAGAAAGCGATGATCTGCCTGCTTTTCACTTGGGGTGACAGGGACCTATTAGCTATTTTGGCCGTCAGCTGGACTAACGTGGTGTTTAAAGCACCTAAAAATTGGTAAGGGATCCACTGGAGAGCCAGTTGAATAACTATCATTCATGGTCACACAGTATGGATTCCATAAGGGATTCTCGTGTCTAGCAGACTTATCGCTCGGGAGAGCTGGATTGAGGCTGTGGACAGTGGATACGCTGTGGAATTACTTGTCTTTAACTTCTCTAAAGCTTTCGACACTCTTCCAATCGCTGCCTTCTCTGAAGTTGAGGTCTTATGGAAGTTCTAGTCACGCCCTTCGGTTGGTGTAAACTTTTCTTAATGTGGAGAACAGTGTGTACGTGCGGGACACAATCTTTCGTTTTGACAAGCTACTTTTAGCGGTGTCCTGCACGGTTCATCTCTGCGACTGGTGCTGTTCGCAGTCTACGTGAATGGCTCCCGTGCTATCACTATTATTTGCTGATGACGTACAAATCAATGTTGTCCCTTTTAGTCCTGAGACGCTTCAACAGCTCTGGATAGACTGAGATTGGTCTCTCGTAGTTGTTGCTTCTAAACTGGGCAAGATATTCAAGACTGCATATCGGAGCGCTTGGTCCCCCTACGAGTTATGTGATTGGTGAGAGGTAACTTCCTCACGTAACTCATCAGATTGAACTAGATATCTCTCGTTGATTCACTCTTCACTCTAGAGACAACTTAAAGAAAGCGGCTAGCAAAGGGTTCCTGACGTTATGGTTTATACTACGTTCTTTCAGGATACTAACAGCTACTGCGTTTGTTAAGCTCTTCTCAGCTTTCGTGCATCCACACATAATCTACTGGGTCCAGATCTGTTCACTTTACCTTGTCCGGGACGAATGGAGCTAGCAAGGATGTTGCGAGTCGGTTCTAGTTTAGTTCATGTCTTACGGGGAGTTGTACCATCAGTATCTACGTACCTTAGCAACACACTCGGCACACTGTCGTAGGATTTATGTACCTCATTCTCCAGGGTAACGTCGGCTCGGACTGATTCTGGCTACTTAGTCCCGCTAACCTATCTAGTCTTTACGGTCATCCCATCAACTTACCCAAATCGCACTCTGTTTAGGGCAGATACTAGTCTATCGCATCTAGTTAGCGAACGATGGAACACTTCTATAGGCTGTGGATGGAGATCATCATCATCATCATACACATCAGCTAGAGGTGGGAAAAACCCCTCCGCTATTGTGCCTGTAGCTGGCTCCTGAAACTTTTTTTTTAAAGGTGGATTCTCTGTGGGTGGAGAATCCACCTTTAAAAGTTTCAGGAGCCAGCTAGATGCTCTTGGGTGGCAATACCAAATTTGCCTCTTTGCTTAACTGACACATTCCAGCTTAACTTTATCTTGCATTCTTACAAGTCTTAGTATTATATTTACCTTAAACTAAATTTCTTTCCTTTTTTGATTTTGATACTTAATCTTTCTTATTTGTTGTTTATCTACGGTCCTAGGGTGAGGGTAGGTAGTTGTCTGTTGAATGTTCTTAGAGGCATATTGAATGAAGTCGATGGGGAACGGTCGAGCTCAGTAATAAGGCACTTATCTTCATAAGTTGCTTGTTAACTTCGACGTGGCCTCGAGTTAGAGCATCGCACACGCCGCTACTCACTAGAGTCCATTCTTAATTGGAGTAAGAAGCCGAGGGAACTGATACCAGGATTTTGTTACCGGATAATATTCTCCTATATTCATTCCGAGTTAGTCGTTTTCTGCATTCCTGTTAACCTAGAGTAGATTGCAACCTTATCGCGCTTCACTTCATCCGGAAATCGCACAAGTGATGACACGAAGACATTTATTTTGACAGCATCCTTTATTTTCATCAGAGAACTGCTCGTGCTCCATTACTTGCATGCATATACTCATTTCAGCGGAACGATATTCCCACTTTTATAGATATTCTCATATGGATGGCGCATTGCTCTCACACAACGTCCTGCTGCAGGCTGTGACTCACTTGTAACTCCAAGATTCCTCAATTCGCGTTTCTTTTATCTCAAAGATGGATGCGTTCACTCCTGAATGTGAGTTAACTTTTCGTCCTAATTTTATGGCGGATTATGTTTGTTATGGTGGAGGTATGCTTGTGGCTAAAATGTGTTCAACTTTATTTGATTTGCTGTTTTTTTTATTCTGCTGCGTATTCCGTGTTAAATTTGCATGTTTATTTTCCTTCAAATTCTATGGAACACCGAAGAAGGTGCCTTCAGACTAGCAACTGTGAACTATCGTACACATCTTCCGTTAACTGCAAACTTTTCACGTGCATTATTCTCCAACGACTTGCTGGTTCCCGTGAGAACCGAATAACCGAAAACCGTCTTGGTCGTGATTGTATCGACCACATTTTTATACTTTGCCAAATGTTAGTGCAGAGACACATACAGATGACCGACTATGGTGGTTTTTCCTGACTTGTAAGCCGCTTTCGACTCTGTTGACCTGGCCAACTTGTGGCACTACCTATCCATGAAGGACTTGCGGGCTAAATTTCTTTCCATTTTGCAGTCTCTCTACAGTGACTCCCGAAGTTGTGTAAGGCTCTACAGGGAACTCCTGAGTTCCTCACGACAGTTGGGTTTCGTCAGAGTTGTCCTAGATCTCTTTTACTCTTTAACTTTGTTATGTAGATGAGCATAAGTGATTCTGTTTTTTCAGACTCTATCGAAGTGGAAGTTCTGCCAGTTGACCGACTGACAAACCTAGAGTATGCAGACGACAGCTTTCCTTGAGTCTGACAGTGACCATGCAAACACTACTGCATGGACTGACGCTTAGCGCTGCTCGCTTCGGCATGTGCTTTGCACCTTCAAACTACAAAGTACGGCTATAGGACTTGACCGATACTCCTCCGGTTCTAAGTATCATCGAACAGCCACTTGAGGTGTTGGATCGGTTCGATTACTTTTGCAGCTGTCATCTCCGATGGTTATATCACTGAGGAAGTTACTTCGCGTATCAGCAAGGCACGTGTGACTTTCCAGTGTTTCAACTATCTATAGAGACGGTGAGATATCAGCCTTTCAGTTAAAAGTGGGGTGTATAACGCTGTGATAAGGCCGGTTTTACTGTATACATCAGAGACCTGGTCAGTTCGCTGCGAAGACGTCAAATGCTTAGCCATGTTTGACCACCGGTGCTTGCGGAGTATTGCTCACATCTGAGGGGAACACCGTGTGAGCAATGCTAAGGTCCGCCAGTTGGTTTTTGGCAAGAAACCTTCTGATGCCTCTCACGAGTGTTTATTGAATCCGAATCACCTACGCTAGCTAGGCTGTTTCCTCCGTATGTCTGTTGACCGGCTTCCTCGTCTTGCATTATACGCCTTAGTTGCATCAGGCTGGGTGGAAACTAGAGGTGACCAGTCAATGACATGGAATAGATGTATGAAGGAACTGTCTAAGAGATTTGGTTAGGCCAGTCTTTTTTGTAGATTCTCGAGATGGTCCACGTCAGTGGTTGGAGACCCTATCGTACTTGGCGCAGTCATTGGCGTTCCTGTATTCGGTTTCTTGCATCTGGTCGTTAACTTCCGTTCCATTCTGATTAATTTAATGCACTTCCTTCTTGCTTTCGTTTTCTTTACCTCATGTTTGCCTTTAACCCCACTATCTTGACGCTGTTATTTATTATTACTCTTGCCATGTGAGTCGTGGCAACTGAATCCACTTCACTTCAATGCTCGGATCATTGTTGTCTACTTGAACTGAAGAAATTTGATGTTGGTTGTTTGATATCTCCGGTGTGGCTGCACTTGATGTGAATGTTGACAAGGTGCCTATCTACCTATTACCCTCCACTTCGTCATATATACTGGCTCCAGGAGACTAAAACGTTACTGCGGAGACCGGGTTGCACGATTCTCGTGGCCATGCTAGGGTCCAAGTGTGATTCAATCCACTGCGGAGCGGACTACAACTTAGCCACCACCTTGTGTGCGTCTAGTACGCATGATTCCGTACATAGATAGACAGGAATGCTGGTGCTGTGCATTTTGACGATAGTCATCATCATCATCATCATTACACGTTAGCTGGAGGTGGAAAACATAGCTATTGTGCCGCAATGCAAAAGGCAAGAAAAGAAAAACAAACAGTGGCACGCCCGCTGAGTCCCCAGTAACGGATGGACATCGTTCCGGAGAGCTAACAGCTGGCTGCCGTAAAAGGAAGTCATATTATGCCTAACGATTGAGATCGTGATTGGAGGGGGATGCTAAACAGGAGGGGGATGGACAAAGGAACTCACAACACAAACGCCATTGGGGCCGGCTCCTAGCCATATCAGCAAGTGTGTCCAACCAAACGTGTTCACCGTCCTTAGGACCCCAGCCAGGCAGTCGGGATGCACCAACCGACGCCAACTTCGAAGTGAGGGTTTTCATTTCTCTCGACCAAGTCATCACTTGGCCTCCCCTCCTCCTCTTCCAACCGCACCCACAACGCGCAAACAATGCACGTCGTGGGAGTCGGTGTGCTGGCATGCGCAACACGTGACCCAGCCATCGGAGCCTGGTGCGTGATATAATCGTGCTGAGCGGTTCACTCGCTCTTCCTGCACCAAATACGCGACGTCGAACACGCTCATTGCTCACGCGGTGTTCCCACCAGACATGAGCTAAGCTGCGAAGGCAGCGATGATCGAATGTGACGAGTCTCTTCATGTCTGTCGACCTGATGGGCCAGGTTTCACAGCCATATAGGAGAGTTGAACGGACGTCTGCGTTGTAAACTCTGCCCTGGAGGGCGAGAGTAATGTCACGTCTGAGCCACAGGTGGCGGAGATTGGCAAAAGCACCTCGAGCTTTTGCTATACGGTTCGTAACCTCATCTTCAATCCCACGGGTGCTAATATAACTGCCCAGGTACTTAAATTCCTGAACGACTTCTAGCAGATCACCACCAAGCGTTAGCGCAGGGTTGGGTCCCTGCCAATCTTGGAGAAGTACTTTGCATTTCGATGGAGCAAAGCATAGCCCAAAACGATTGACAGCCAGTGCTAATCGGTTCAGTGCTGTTTGACATGTTTGGGAGCTGTCACAGATTAGGGCAATGTCGTCCGCATACTCTAAGTCAAGAAGTCGCTCACCAGGGAGTAGCTCCACACCTTCTAGGTCGTGTCCATCGAACGCTGTTTCCATGACTTCATCAATAGCGAAGTTGAAGAGGAAAGGTGACAGCGGGCATCATTGTCTCACACCGCTGGTGATACTGAAGGGTGGCGAGAGTTTGCCATAAACCCTTACCCTGCCCGAACTATGCGCGTACAGCGCTTTGATAATGTTTACATATTTATCAGGCACACCTTTCCTCAACAGACAGTCCCAAAGGGCACATCGATCGATTGAGTCAAAGGCACCTTTTATGTCAAGAAACACGACAACGGTGGGTCGCCAATAAACATGGCGGTGCTCCAACACTTGACGCAATGTAAAGATGTAGTCGATGCAGCCCCGACCTCAACGAAATCCGGCTTGCTCTTCACGAATTTGGCTTTCACGAGTGCCAGTCAGTCTGTGGAGAATGAGAGAGGCAAGCAATTTAGAGGCAGTCGAAATCAGACTGATCCCTCTATGATTGTCACATTCTAAACGGGAGTCTCCCTTGAAAATTAGGACAATGACGGAGCAGTTCCAGTCTGTCGGGACTGTCTCCTGCTCCCAAAGTTTTACTAGCAACTCGTGTAAATCATCTACTAGAGCAGGTCCACCGAATTTGAAGAGGGCTGGAGGAATAGTATCTACTCCTGCGGCCTTATGCAATTTCAACAGCCTGATCTCACTTTCGACTTCTGCGCGTGAGGGCGGATCCGAGGAGACGGCCCAAGGAGAAGGGCGCTCAATGCCCGAAGAAAGCGATAACTCAGGTTGGTTAAATTGCCTCGCAAAGTGTTCAGCCCAACGCTCCATGCGTTTTGACAGGCTGTGGATCATCTGCCCACTCTCGTCGCGTATGGTCTCGCTAACACCAGGTCTCCTGCTGCCTGTTGCCCGTATCAGCCGGTATAACTTACGATGGTTACCAATAGCAGCGGCTGTTTCCATCTCAGAGGCACGATGAGACCACCAGGTTTCGCGGTCCTTCTTTAGGCTAGCACGTAGTTTCGCCCTGAGATTTTTGCGAGCTTCATTGTATTCGCTTCCAGCCGGAATACGTCGGCGAGCATCCATAAGTTCCAGAGACTGTGTAGAGACCCAATGTTCGGTTTTGCAATTTGTTTTGCCACATACAATTTGTTTTGCCACATATTTTGACGATAGTGGTGCGGATCCGTTGATGAAACATGGCTCCCATCCACATGCCTCCCGGTCTTATTCTTTCGGATTTACTCTGGATATGGGGTGTATGGATTGAGCTGTGTGTGGCGCAGCGTAAGCCACCCATGGTCCCTTTGTGGACGCAGGCGTCCTATGGAGGCCGCAGTGACAGGCAAATCCGGAATCGAATTCCGCCAATCATGCTTTTGCCTGATATCTGTAATAATAATGTGTCAGCTGTAGCCGATAAGGGCGCTTCGCTGCCGCGCGACCGCCACCAGTCGCGCGCGGGCTGAGTATACCACGAGGACGCCCACCTCTACGCGGATTCGAACCGGTGACTTTATGGTTACAAACCAAACGCGCAGACCACTCGGCCACCGGCCGACCCTGATCTCTGTAGTTGTTACGCACTTGTCACGTGGGATCTAACACGGCTACACAATCTTAACAATGTTCAACAGTTTGTGTATCTCCACGGCCCATTGAGTGGCACCACTAATACCAGGGTTCAGACTAGCTCTGGAGGTTCGGGATATGTCGATGGTCATCTTTCCTTGAAAACTAGCCATGGGTGACAACAGGTTTACGGATTATGTGCTCACAGTTCGATTGGCGTAGAGCACAAAGGCTACCCATTGTCTTTGACGAGTGGGGAGTACCGCTCGGTGCTCGATTGTTTCCTACCGTTCGCCTTAAGCTAGACATCACCTGGTCAAATTAGTGTGAAGCTGCCAACTCCCACCTGCGGCTAGCCATGATCGTAAG